GGGTCGCGCAGGATTGTTTTGACAAACGCCAGCACACGAGACTCCCCATTCCAGGAAGGGTCCAGCGAAGGCGGCGAGACATTCGGAGTGGTCACTGCGGGTGAGCCGAGCAGAGGACGACGGAGACACCCGAGCCATGGATCACCCTGTGTCACCTGGCCACCCAAACCGCCTCGATGGGCAAATCCAGTGAGGAGTCCCAGGGCACCTCAAAGCAGGCTCCAGCCCACGAAAGCTTCTGCCCAATTTCTGCTAGTCCGGACGGTGCCCCAAGACTCCCCGCTGGTTTTGCAGACACCGACTAACTCAGCTCGCTGCGGTCCCGCGGGTGAGCTCCAGCGTCAGGAGAACTCACCTGGCCACCCAAACCGCCTCGATGGGCAAATCCAGTGAGGAGTCCCAGGGCACCTCAAAGCAGGCTCCAGCCCACGAAAGCTTCTGCCCAATTTCTGCTAGTCCGGACGGTGCCCCAAGACTCCCCGCTGGTTTTGCAGACACCGACTAACTCAGCTCGCTGCGGTCCCGCGGGTGAGCTCCAGCGTCAGGAGAACCCGCAGGCGTGTCACTGAGCCTGTCTGAAGGGCAGGTGCGGCCGAACCAACGACACGCCTGCTGCGGAGGCAGCTACACGGACCTCGCCTGCGTTTCCTGCTAGGCCCCTTTCTCAGCTCCCATGCATGGAGCCGGGCGGATCGGGCCTCGGGCCCGGCCCACTCACAAGTGTGCAGAGCCAGCAGAGCCCTAAAAGCAGGCCCACGAATCCCAAAGGAGAGCGTGGGTGGGAAAGCGCGAGTCCGGAGGGCAGCTCTGCCAGGAAGCGAAGGGAGAAAGTGTGGGTTGCTTAAAAATCAATACAACGCAGCTGGCCTGAACGTGAGTCACCCTTGAGGGCTGCCAAGAGGCCTCCTGGAGTGCGATTGCCACAGCGGCTCTCCGAGAGTCGGGGGAGAGCGGCAGAAGATGCTGGGCGGATGAGTGGCACAAAAGAAAGGGAGGCACTCCGGGCGCGCAGGGCCCTCAGCTGCGGCTCAGCGCGATCCCGCCTCTAACTGCTGCAAGCCGAGTCGCCCTGCCCCACACACGGCCAGAGACAGGACGCTGGGGCACAATGGAGCACGGTTCCTAGGGGCCAAATGCCTCGTCGCGCCTCTCCAAGCGGACAGGCCAATGACCCGCTGCTAACGAGGGGGAAACAACCAAGTGTCTTGCCTGCCCAGGTTTATGACGCCCCGGGGGATACCGGTGGGGGTGTTGAAGGCTGGTAGAAGTTTCTCTCCAAGTTCTAGAGCTTTGCTCCTGAATACCTGTTCGACAAAGAGGAAGAGAGTTAGCGTGGATGATTTACTGCTGGCTTTAACCCTTCGCCTTCCCGTACACCCTCCGACACCCCCGTTACTGCGTGGGCAAGGACGACGCGACAGTCCAGGGCTTTCATTTCAACCAGTGGCCTAGACACTGGGATGGGCCTGAATCAACCCCCCGAGGAAGTTTCCATCTGGCCCGGAAATGAGGGATGCCCCAGGACGTCCACAACAGACCAGCCAGGATCCCAAAGGCCTCCCACCGGGGCTCAAGTCACAACACAGGGACCCTCCCTTTCTACCAGGCTCAAGGGTCAGTTCTGTTAACGTCTGACCTGGGGCTTGGAATCGCGCTGGCACCACGGCACCTGTGGGAACCTTCCCCTGGGAGTCCGTCTCCTCTGGACACGCTCCTGGTGAGCTTGGGTTTGAACCTGGAAATTCCAAGTTCACTCGGCCAAGCCTGTCAACTCTTGCCCTGTTCGGGGCCAACCCCCTCGTGCTCTCCAGGGTCTCCTGGTGAAAGCCGAGATCACCCCAGGCTCACTGAAGTAGAACAGTGAACCCCACGCACAGCGCACAGCTCTGACTGCTCAATGCTGCCGGAGAGTGCAGGGCCGAGCCGTCCCGGCTGCAGCCAGCTCTTCTCGGGACTCTCAGACCCACCGAGTCTTTTCCCTTCAACTCGGAGCCAAGTTCTGCATTAGCTGGCGGCACAGCAGGGAAGCTGGATTGCGCGTCTGCGTCCTGAGCGAAAGCAAGCCATCCGCCCACGCGCCCAGAGCCCCGCTCCCCCAGCCACTGGAGCTGTTCCTCTCCACCACTGAGCCCAGAGCATTGTTGGGTCAGGTCTCCACTTCAAACGCCGCCCGCTGCAGCTGCCGGGGCTCTGCTCTGAGCGCATTAGCTGGCGGCACAGCAGGGAAGCTGGATTGCGCGTCTGCGTCCTGAGCGAAAGCAAGCCATCCGCCCACGCGCCCAGAGCCCCGCTCCCCCAGCCACTGGAGCTGTTCCTCTCCACCACTGAGCCCAGAGCATTGTTGGGTCAGGTCTCCACTTCAAACGCCGCCCGCTGCAGCTGCCGGGGCTCTGCTCTGAGCCATCGGCACGAGACCCTGCTTTTCTGGCCAGAGAGCAGCTTCTGCAAAGCACCGCCGGGGACACAGGTCTCCTATCGGAGTCTACGGCCAGGGAGGCGATTTCTACAGAGGAAGCCAGCAGCGGCTTGCAAAGCAGGCAGTTAGCTCCCGCTACGCTGGAGAACACGGATTTTACACGCAAACACACGCGCCTTTCTGCACAGCTCCGTTCCAGAAAGGGTCCCTGGCCTAGGGCCAAGTTTCCGCCTTTTGGTTCCGGATTGCCGAGCTACAGGGTTTCTGAGCAAACCGCAGCTGAGGGGGCTCGCCGCACAAAGCCACCACAGACTGTTACTTGGGGGCAGACCCACACAATCAGTTATCTGTGCTCAAGGAACGAGCCTGGAGCAAGAGAAGCCTGTAAGTGACAGGAGATCAACCACAGGCTGGCTCCCTCTCCCCGTCAGCCCCCGTGGCCAGAAGCAAGCGGGAAATCCTTGTGCAGAGACGTGCACTGAGGACCCGGCTCTCCAGCCGCTTGCTCCCGCAGCAGAAAGGCGAAAGGCCTGGCTCTGCGGTGGGGTTGTATTACGGAGCGCGGGGAGGCACCGGCCTGTCTGCTGAGCGCTTTGGCTAGCTCAGGCTGAAGCCAATGGAAGCAGTGAGCGCAAGGGGCCGGGAGACCTGCGAGCGCTTTCCCAGCAGGGCGAGTTCCTGGGACTCGTCTAAACCGTCATTAGGAAGCGTCTCCCCAGCACCCAACCCACGGCATCGCCGGGCAGAGACCAGCCGCTTCCCCCGGCCGACGCTGGCCCGCAGCAACGTGGGCGTCTCCCCAAAGGGGTATTTCCTGGGTGCTCAAGGCCCAGGCCTGCAGCTGCTGGCCAGTCGCACTGCCGCTGAGGAGAGGGGGTCAGGCCGTCTGCCCCAGCTATTCAGGGCAGCGGATAATCCCTGGACCTCCCCACATCTGGCTGGAACATGCCAGCAGGACTGTCTGCGGAGCCAGGTTCTGGGATTACCCTGCCACCCGCATGCGGGAGAGAAAGAGGGGGGCAGAATTCATTGCCGGCCTAGTGCCCGTTGGAAGGGAAGGCTGCTCCCTCGGTAGGTCTCGGGCTTGATCCGCAGGGCACTGCCGGGGGGAGGGGGTCATCCCACCCACCCCTCCTCTTCTCAAAGGTGCAGCCCCACATGACAACAGCGCCTGGGCCGCACACGAGGACGGAATCAGGCACCGCCCGAGCGAAAGGCGCGAGCTGAGAGAGTCTGGGTGAAAGCGCCAAGGCCCGGCAGCTGGGGGCTGTACCAGACTCCTCTCCACAGTGGCCTTGTGCGGAGGGGGGCACTTGTAACACCCCCCCGTGCGGGACACTTGCACACTAACAACGGCTCCTCGCACAGGGATGTCGTTAGCCACAACCTGGCCCCTGCTTTGCCAATGAAACAGCCATTTGGGATTTCACAAATAGCTGCCACTAATAAGCGAACACGTAGCTTGCACGATCGTAGCCTATGTTTAGGCTACAAAGTAACAAGGGCAGTGGGAAAAGCCAAGATTGCTGCAAACGCATTTCAGCAGGGACCCATGTACCAAGCAGAAAAACGATCTTGCTAAAATCGTTGGAGAGAAGATCCTTAGCGCTGAGCCATGCATGGCGAGCGCACGGCAATTGTCTGAGACTTCATTAAAAGACTCTTAGTGGGAGCTCAATGTTCATAAAAAACCGGTTTAGCCTCGTCTTCGAGGGATTCTCTACGTTCAGCGCAGCACGCCGGAAGCCGCCAGAGCCCAAGTGCACCCGCACCTTCCCCGTTTGGGACCCCACGAGACGCGCAGGGCATGGACACAAACCTCTTCGCCGGTGAGGTAGTACGCCGCCAGCAGCCCTCCCACATAGCGGATGTTCACTTCGAACAAGGAGGCTTCTCCGTTCTGAAAAGACCAGAGGCAGAGAGTGACGGGGAGGTCCAAGTGGAAGCCGCCAGAGCCCAAGTGCACCCGCACCTTCCCCGTTTGGGACCCCACGAGACGCGCAGGGCATGGACACAAACCTCTTCGCCGGTGAGGTAGTACGCCGCCAGCAGCCCTCCCACATAGCGGATGTTCACTTCGAACAAGGAGGCTTCTCCGTTCTGAAAAGACCAGAGGCAGAGAGTGACGGGGAGGTCCAAGTGACACCGCCGCGCGCCCTCCCCAGTGCAGTTCCCCCATGCACGTCCACACACCCCACAGCCCTCTGGCCGCTCAGTGACACCTGGCCTCAGGAGCATCCTCCACCAAAGCCACGAGGGACGAACCCCTGTATCTGGGCATCAGCTTTCGGGGGCCGGAAGATGCAGCTGAGGAAGCTGGTGCCCAAATCTAGTTAGTCTCATGCCGCTGGTCTCCTCATTGAGGCAGAGTAACCCAGCGCCCCCTTTATGTCTCCCCAAGGGCTCTCTCCACAAAGGCCCACAGCTCCGGAGGGCAACAGGGGTGAGCTGCGGGGACAATCTTGCCACCACTGAAATGGCCTGTGGGTGAAGCGCAGCAGCTGTCTGACCACGTCTGTCTGTGGAATAAAGCAGGAGAAACGGTGCCCGTGGAGAGCGCAGAGCCAGGCCCCTACGCCGAGCGCTGGAGCGAACACGAAATGCCGAGGGATTCGGAGAGCCCACAAGGAGTCCGAGCTCTGTTCTGAATGGCCCCAAGAGCCATTAATCCAGCGCTGGCTCAGGGCCCCCGCCTGCCGTGCCCACAGCTTCTTGGGAAGTCTCCCACGGAGGCAGGGATCTGCCATGCCCAGCCCTGCTTAGTACCGGACAGGGCCCTGCCACGCGGCGTGGGAGACGGACGAGCCCTGCCAGGAGATGGCGAACACGCAGCCACACGGTTCGCTGCACCGCTCAGGAAGCCGCTCACCTGGAACTAGTTAGGATCTATTTTATTCCAAGTCCCCATCAGCAAATGTCAAAGCAATTGCCTTCCAACTGCGCTACTTAGACACACACTCCTGGGCTGCACGCCTGCCAGGCAACCACGTGGAAAACGCCCACGGGGAGGCTCTGACCAGAGCACAGCGACTTCAGCACGGGGGAGGGGACCCGGCCTCTCATCTGTCCCTTCCCAGTGGCCGGGGGACCAGTGTGTTTACAGCCCCCGTCCTGGCTCTCAGGGCTCTGTGCTGTCATTTAGTTCTCATGTACCCGGAAGCATCTTCTCAGGGCCCCCGCAGCAGAGGCAGTGCGGGCAGTGCTGCTAGACAATATGGATCTCCCATGGGCTGGCAAATTCTCTGGTTGGTCACTGGTCAGATCCCGAGGGTTCTGGACTAGAGGGGTTCAGCCTGCAGTCACTGCCCGCGGCTCTCCTGGGGGCCGTGGCTGCGGAAGGAGGGGCTTTTGCGTCAGCGTTCGAGTCCCGCCCACCAAATGCTCTAAAGGCAAGACCGGGACCTCCGGTTTTACTGGGTGCAATGGGCCATTGGCGGAACAAACGCCATTCGAGCGACGTGTTGCTGACGGCTCGTTGTGGAACGTCGTGTGTCGAGACGGTTTCTTTGTGGCTCAACCCATTCTGGAAAATTCCCTCGGCAGCAAACGCAGCCGCTTTTGGAAGGACACCCTCTCCCCTCCTAATTCTCTCTCCCTCCGGCTCTGAACCGGATCCCCTGCCCACGTCAGGCCCCTGCAACCTCTGCCTGGTGAAGTAGCACCTTGTCTCAAAGCCAACTTGTAATTAGTTTCAACCCTTCTCTCCCCGCACCGCACATCTGACTCCAATGATCAATCTATTGCATTCACTTTAATCTCTGCTGATCAATCAATCGTGGGGGCCAGGAAGAAACGATCTCCCCCTTGTTTATCGATTCAGTAACACACTCAAGAGCACTCAACCACATTTATCAACGCTCCTCTTAGGGATCCAGGCCGAGCAGCCCTTCTCAAACGAGGCTTTGCTAAACAGGCAGCTGCATTCATTGTTCACATGGGGAGAGCCGTTTGCCCCACGCACGAACTAGGACGGGCATCAGGAAACTACAATTCTAATGGCATTTTGGGTTGAACGGCCTCCATGGACCACCACGGCCGGCTGCGGTCCCCTCGCACCAGTACACTGCGCCTCTCTGCAAAGGGAAACAAGAAGACCTTTTATAAATACATTAAAAGCAAGAGGAAGACCAAGGACAGGGTAGGCCCACTGCTTAGTGAGGAGGGAGAAGCAGTAACAGGGAACTTGGAAATGGCGGAGATGCTCAATGACTTCTTTGTTTCGGTCTTCACCGAGAAGTCTGGAGGTGTGCCTAACGTAGTGAATACAAGCAGAGAGAGGGTAAGTTTAGAAGATAGGATACACAAAGAACAAGTTAAAAATCACTTAGGAAAGTTAGATGTCAGCAAGTCACCAGGTCCTGATGAAATGCATCCCAGGATACTCAAGGAGCTGATAGAGGAGGTATCTGAGCCTTTAGCTATGATCTTTGAAAAATCATGGCAGACAGGGGAGATTCCAGAAGACTGGAAAAGGGCAAATATTGTGCCCATCTATAAAAAGGGGAATAAGAACAACCCAGGAAATTATAGACCGGTCAGTTTAACGTCTGTCCCAGGGAAGATAATGGAGCAGGTAATTAAGGAAATCATATGCAAACACTTGGAAGGTAATAAAGTGATAGGGAATAGCCAGCATGGGTTTGTGAAGAACAAGTCATGCCAAACTAATCTGATAGCTTTCTTTGATAGGATAACGAGCCTTGTGGATAAGGGAGAAGCGGTGGATGTCATATACCTAGACTTTAGTAAGGCATTTGATACGGTCTCGCATGATATTCTTATTGATAAACTAGGCAAATATAACTTAGATAGGGCCACGATAAGGTGGGTGCATAATTGGCTGGATAACCGTAGTCAGAGAGTTGTTGTTAACGGTTCTAAATCCTGCTGGAAAGGGATAACAAGTGGAGTTCCTCAAGGGTCTGTTTTGGGACCCGTACTGTTCAATATCTTCATCAATGATGTAGATATTGGGATAGAGAGTACTCTTATTAAGTTTGCAGATGATACCAAACTGGGTGGGGTTGCAACTTCTTTGGAGGATAGGGACATAATTCAGAATGACCTTAGCAAGTTAGAGAAATGGTCAGAGGTAAACAGGATGAGGTTTAATAAGGAGAAATGCAGAGTGCTCCACTTAGGAAGGAACAATCAGTTCCATACATACAAGATGGGAAGCGACTGTCTAGGAAGGAGCATGGCGGAAAGGGATCTAGGGGTCATAGTGGACCACAAGTTGAATATGAGTCAACAGTGTGATGCTGTTGCAAAAAAAGCAAATATGATTTTAGGTTGTATCAACAGGTGTGTTGTAAGCAAAACTCGTGAAGTCATTCTGCCGCTCTATTCTGCACTAGTTAGGCCTCAGCTGGAGTACTGTGTCCAGTTCTGGGCGCCACATTTCAAGAAAGATGTGGAGAAATTGGAAAGGGTACAGAGAAGAGCGACAAGGATGATTAAAGGTTTAGAGAACATGACCTATGAAGCCAGGCTTCATGAACTGGGCTTGTTTAGTTTGGAAAAAAGAAGATTAAGGGGGGACATGATAGCGGTTTTCAAATATCTAAAAGGGTGTCACAAGGAGGAAGGAGAAAATTTGTTTCTCTTGGTTTCTGAGGACAGGACAAGGAGTAATGGGCTTAAAGTGAAGCAGGGGAGATTTCGATTGGACATTAGGAAAAAATTCCTAACTGTCAGGGTGGTCAAATATTGGAATAAATTGCCAAGGGAGGTGGTGGAATCTCCCTCTCTGGAGATATTTAAGAACAGGTTAGATAGACATCTGTCAGGGATGGTGTAGACGGAGCTTGATCCTGCCTTGAGGGCGGGGGGCTGGACTCGATGACCTCTCGAGGTCCCTTCCAGTCCTATGATTCTATGATTTGTCTTCCTGATCCAAAGGCCCAGCGCTGGGGTTGTGGCCAGAGCTGGGGGGAGAAATGTGCCCCCCCACACCCCTCCCTTGGCACTTCATTCACCCAGAGGTTACAGATGTTTCGGTGCCCCCCACACTCAAAGCCCTGGCACAACTGTCCCATCCCCCTCCCTTCTCGTTAGCCCGGGCCCTGCGCTGCCTTTGCCTAGCACACAGCGCTACTAAGGCCCAGCGCTGGGGTTGTGGCCAGAGCTGGGGGGAGAAATGTGCCCCCCCACACCCCTCCCTTGGCACTTCATTCACCCAGAGGTTACAGATGTTTCGGTGCCCCCCACACTCAAAGCCCTGGCACAACTGTCCCATCCCCCTCCCTTCTCGTTAGCCCGGGCCCTGCGCTGCCTTTGCCTAGCACACAGCGCTACTGGCCACTCACGGAGCAATCATTTGCGAAGGGGGGAAAACCACTCCTCCT